TGCCGACATCCTTGCTGACCTCCTGACCCCTGCCGACATCCTTGCTGACCTCCTGACCCCTGCCGACATCCTTGCTGACCTCCTGACCTCCACTGACCTTCTGACCTCTGCCAACCTTCTGACTAACCTCCTGACCTCCGGCAACCTTCTGACTAACCACCTGACTTCCGTCAACCTTCTCACTAACGGCCTGACCTCCGCCAACCTTCTGACTAACCTCCTGACCTCCGCCAAATTTCTGACTAACCACCTGACCTACCCCGACCTTCTGACTAACGGCCTGACCTCCGCCGACCTTCTTACTAACCTCCTGACCTCCGCCGACCTTCTGACTAACCGCCTGACCTCCAGCGACGGCGGGCGGCGGCGCGGCCGCCTTCTTGGCGCGCTTCTTCACCGGCATCTCGCCACTCGCCTGCTTTCGCTTCTTCGCCGCAGCCGGTGGCGCCACCTGCGGGGTCGCGGCGAGGTCGGCGTAGACGAACGTGTAGCGCTGGCGGCGCTCGGCGCGCGTCTGCGCCGACGCCTCCTCGGCGACCTTGACGGCGACGTCCCACGCGTGCGACGGCTTCACCTCGTAGCGGCGCCGGACGAGCCGCTTGGCGCTACCCGTGCGCGCCGCCTCCACGCGCTCGCGCACGTAGTTGTTGAAGCGCATGAGGCCCGCGAACTCCACGCAGCCGCCGTCCGTCACCCAGCCGCGCTGCGGCGCGTCGCCGAAGAACTGCACGTGGTAGCGGCGGAAGCCGCGCGGCGCGCGACCCTTGACCTCCGTGTAGCGGCCCAGCACGGGGTCGGCGCTGACCATGCACGGCCACCACGGGTGCCCGACGACCTTCGCCCAGATGAGGTCGCCGACGAGCCAGCGGCACGGCATCGCCGCGTCGTCAGCGCCCTCTGGCGGCGCGTCTCCCGTCGGCGCGGGAGCGACATCCTCCCCGGTGTGCGTCGGCGGCGGGAAAGGATGCAGCAAGTCGCCATGGTTACGACTACGCTGCACCAGCATACCCGGTCTATATCTGCCTATCATTAGCATTCCGCAAGGACTTGCAAATAGCGAATAACTGAATGTTCTCATGAGATGGCGAGAGCGGATGCCAAATCTCGCGACACCCGGATAAACACAGGTGAAAGTCCTGCCACAGAACTGCAAGCCGTGAACGAACGTCGCAAACCAGATGAACATGTCACACGACAACGCAAACGGAGCGAATCATCATCTTGCATTGTGATCAGTACGCCATAAGTGCGTTCGGGTCAGTTTCAACGCGTCAATTCCGCTCGGGTCGATGATCGCTCTCACCGCCGATTGTTGGTTCACAGGCGAACAAACCCTTTCGACCTTGCATCACACGCGTACTCTACGTGAGGTCGTGCGAGCGTGCAGCATGGTAAAATGCGTTAGTGTCGTCCAGCAGAGCTCGGTGGTAAAGAAAAAAAAAAAAAAAAACATACCGCCCTATGTTGTGCCGACACATGGCGCAATACGCTCTTCACCTGCTTTGCCATCATATAACCGCACCGCGCGGCCGCGGACGACTGCCGCGTTTGCAAAATTAAGATTTTCATAAAACTATCTCTATCTTTGGAGGGTGTGTGCTGCGGTGCCTGAAGCTAGGATGGATGGGAGGAGGGGGGAGGGACGCAGTTTTCGCCGCCATCACGTCACGATCATGAGATTGCCCTCCTCGCTCGACGACACTCGCTGTTCCCGATCGCTCGTTGCCGCGCGGGAACGTCGGGTGGCGGTACTCCGCGCCGGCGCCGCCCCTGGCGGCAGCCCTCTCCGTCTGCGAGCCCGCTCGACGGAGGTTCGGCGCTTGTGCGCGCGTCGCAACGGCATCTTTCCTTGCGGTCCGGGGCGGCGGCGGCGCGCAGCGGGAAGCTTCGAGAGGTCCGTGCTCCGTCGCAGTAGGTGGCGCCGTGTCGTCGGGCGGCTCGCGGCACGCGGCCGTCGCTCGTGCGCCGCGCACGCAACGAGTTCGGGCAACGCGGCGGCAGAGCAGCGTGCCGGCGCGCGGCCGCAATCGTCACAGTGGTGGCCCGACGGGCACTGACCCAGCGGCCGTGCGGGCGCGCGAGCGAGGGTCGAGGCAGCCGAGCGCGAGTGTGGTACACCTTGCCTGCTACGTCCGCCGGTCGCACATCACCACGCTCGCCGCCCTCGTCCGCAGGCGGAAGCACATCGTCGTCGTCGGCGATACCGCCGCCGTTCGCCGCGCGCCGCGCCGGTTCTTCGCCGCCGTTCTCCCCGGCGCGGCGCG